CCCGGGCCTCAGTGGCCAGCCACCTGGTTGCTGAAGAGCCGAGTGTTCAGCGTCCGGTTGCTTTGAGGCCCAGCCCTGGCCCAGGACGTCTTCACTTGGATGCGCATGAGATCCCCAGCTCACATGGCCAGAGCACACATCTCCCCACTTCCTGTGCTTCCTGTGCCCCCATCTCGGTGATCCAGAGACCTAGATGCCACCTGGACAGCCCCCCACCAATATCTCCGGGATGTGCCCCCTCCTTTCTCCCCACCATTGCCATGCTAGTCAAAACCATCATTACCGCTCACCTGCTGACCTAATTTACCTCCCTCCTTCCCCGATCTAATTGGATCTATTCTCTCCTCGGCAGCCAGGCCCTGACTGGTCCGGCCCTGCCCTCAGACTTTGCTGTTCTTTCCGTTTAGGCGATTCACAAGATTTTGCCTGCCTCTGAGGTTTTGGACAAGCCTGGAATGCTCCCAGACACCCCTCCCCACTCCTAGTCTCCCCAGTGTCAGGTAACTGCAGATCTCAGCTTAGTATGTGGCTTCTTCCAGGAAGCCTTCCATGATGCTCCACCCTCTAGACAAAGTTGGGTACCCAGGTAACGGGGCTTCTTTGTACATCAACTGAGCTCATATCACACTGTTGATCTCCTTGAAGCAGGGATGACCAGTCCCCAGTTCTCAGCCTGGTGGCTGGCACTTAAGGGCCCTTTGCAAATGCTGGTTGATTGAATGAATAAAAGTGTTGGAGGCTGGGATAGAGGGAAATGGAGAGCAGGTGAACGCATTTCTTTTAAGGTTGGAGATGGCTCGGGGTTGGGATGAGATTAGGGTGGAAGAGATGAGAATCACGGGAGGGTTCGGCAGGAACAGGGACCTCAAGCCCTCCTGCCTCCTGACCTGCTGTCCCTGGTGGCCATCAACAAATCTGCTAATGTCACATGTGGGAGCGGCCCAGGCCCAGGAAGCCCCTTCCTCCATCCAGGCCCGGCCCGCGAAGAACAAGCACCACAGGCGTGTACAGGTCGGTTTATTTACAAATATACTGATGTCTCGTCTTTTTTTGTTGTTTCCATTTTCTGCTGTTGTAGGAAGAGGTGGAGGTGAGAGTGGAGGGCAGGGCGGGCGGTGGTGTGGTAAACGCTAATAAATAATTTAACAATGACAAGTTATTAAATAAAATGTGTCTGGGGATGGCGGGTGGGCTGTGAGAGTCTGTCTGTACAAGGAAAACAGGCATGGCCGGTGGCCCGTCCTCACACCTGGCTGGACTGGGCTCCCATGGGACCCCCGGGGGGGGTGGGGGACACCAGCAAAGAGGCTCATTGGCGCCTTCCAAGGGCCAACTGTTGGAGGGGTCGTCTTTCCTGCTCCCCTGGGCCCCCAGGCCCCGTGTGCCTGCGAGTGTGGGTCCGGGAGCCTCCACGTGCGTCCCGGTGTGAATGTGTGTGTGTGAGTGCGTGCGTGCGAGCGTGGGGCCCTTTCCCCACAGGGCATACTTAGCCCCAGAGCTGCAGGCTCTCCCTCACCCTAGGTGGTGCCCACAGCTCAAGGATGGAGCCGGGCAGGCATCAGGCAGTCCTCTTTCCCGAGGCTCCCTGCGTGCGACATGAAAAGGGTATTCAGAGGGGGTTTGGGGGAGGCAACTTCTTGCTAGGAGGCTGCAGGGCTTCCCAGAGAAGAGGTTGTCCCCAAAGCCATGCTGGGAGCCTGGCCCGGCCTGCTCATCCACTTTCACCCACCCTCAGGAAGCTTCCTAAGATGCCCAGCGGTGTGCACCAACCCTCTCTCCGGGCTCTTTCCAGGCTACGCTGGCACCTTGGTCTGCCCCTTGTGAGGAGTGTCTCTGTGTAGCCTCCCTGTGCTTCCCGGGATAGCAGCGTGGCTGGGAGGCTTCATGGAGCAGGCGGATGAGGCTCTGGCTGGGGCCATGAGCCGGGCTTCGTGTCCCTCCTCTGCTCTGTGATACCTGGGGCGAGCCTTTCCTCTTTCTAAGCCTCAACCTCCCCAGCAGGGAGGTGGAACTTGGCTTTTCATCAAGACCCCTCCTGCCCCCCTGTCATTCTGTTTTGCTCTGGAGACCACACCGTTATCTTCCTCTTCCCACCCCAGCCCCCTTAGTGATGAAGATCCCATGTCATGGCAGGGGTGAGGTGTGATCCTGGCTACTCCCCGCCCAGCTCCCAGCAAAGGCTGCCCCTCCTCCCGTGAGGTGAGAGGCCTGCCGGCTCCGTAGACCTCTGCTGGCTGGCCCTGAACACATCGCCTCCCTGCTTCGAGCCTCCGGCTCATCTGAGAAATGGGTCCCCGTCATGTCTAGACTCTCCGGCTGGGCTTTCCTTCTAGGAGAGAAGCCCTCGAGGACAGGCCCTGCATTCTTGTTCATATGTGTGCCACGCCCAGTCCAGGGCTGGGTGGAGTGGGTGCTGGTGTCTAAGAGCCTGTGAGCAGCAAGGCACAGCGTAGAGCAAAGGGTTCCTAGCCACGGCTGACAGGGCACCTCCGGCAGGAGGGATTCTCTGAGGTCCCTCCTGGCTTTAACAAGCGTGCTGTCCCTAGACCAGCTCCCAGCATGGGGCCCTGGCTAGATTCAGGGCCTTGTGAGGGCCCAGAATGGGAAGAGGTGGCCCCAGGGGCTGACAAGTTTACTAAGAACAAGTTGTGACCCCCTGACCTAAAGGTCATTCACAAACCACAGGGGACAATGGGGCTGGCACGATGTCCCTGTTCTCAGCTCAGCTGTCACTAACCCGGACCTCGGACAGGTCTCTTCCCCTCTCTTGCCTCAGGGTTTCCAGCTATAAAATAAGGGGTGGGGGGTGAGATGACCGTTTCTGATGTCGTTTCCAACGTATCGGGTCTGGGAGAGAAGGGCCAGGTCTCTTGGGAGGTCAGGTGTCTGCCCCTGAATCTGCCCAAAGTGTCCCTGGCATGATTCCGATGGTGCATGTGCAAAAGGAGAAGGAGGGGTGTGTCTCCAGAAGCCAGTACAGCTGCTGCCCAAGGGACCCATGGTGGCAGAGTCCCTGGTGGGCTGAGTGGCAGAAGGACCAGGACATCAACTGAAGTCCTTGGAGAAGCTCTGTTTGGAAGAGCTTCAGTGGGGCCAGCTGGCTGCTGGGACCCGATGGTTGACACGGGGCTGCATGTCAGGCGAGGAGGGTGGCCTAGGACGCACTGGGGGGAGTGAGTTCCTCAGCAAACAGGAGGAAAACCACAGGACAGGCTGAACTCGGAGAAGCCCAGAGATCCAGGCAGAGGCCTAGAGGTGGAAAGGGACACTCGTCATCCGTACTTGCTCAAAGGTTGGACCAGGCAGACCTTGGGGTGGTGGCTTAGGGCTTGACTTGAGAGTTAAAGGCAGGGTTGTGAGCACCTGAGCAAGGACACAGTGACCAGCAGGGGCCGGGGCGGGTTCACCGGTCAGGCCCCAGGGCTCAGCCTCCTTGCTCTGATGGGGTTAGAGTTGAGCAGACCGGGGCTGGGCCGGATCGAGTGTACCTGGCTTCCAGCAGGGCACCCGACAGGATCTGTAATCTCCCTGGGGGAAGGGAGCAGGAAATGCAATTGGAATGTGTCCCCCAAGGAGGATGGATTAATGGGCCAATGTCAAACACGGAGAGGCCACCCTGGTCCACACACCTCGGGTGAGACACCCAGGGCCAGCTTCTCACTGGGCAGGTGTGCTGGGAGAGAGCAAAGCAGTGGTCACAGAATCAGGATGCAGAGAAATTCCACAGGCGGGAAGGAATCGAGTAGGTGGGAATGGAACAGGAAAGAGGGCATGGTCCCTCACTCGGTCTACGCAGTAAGTGCCCCCATCATCCTGCATATACACAGGGAAGGGATGTGGCTTAGCTGTCACCTGTGTGTGGGGTCTGGGATTTAGTTACAGCAGGGCAGGGTGACTTCCCAAGGTCATGTGGCCAAATCACTCATTGGTTTTCAGGCCACATTAACAGAGGCAGGGGGCCACAGCCGGAGAGGGATGTACCTGCTCTCTTCTGGCCAGCTGACAGCAACGGGAAGGTGAAGTGATACCTGCCCCACAGGGACAGCTGGAGGCCCGCTAGGGGGACAGTGTTGAGAGGAAGAGCTGGAGAAGCCTGGCTCTGGGAAGCAGGAAGGCACAGCTGCCTTGGCTCACAGATGTAGTGAGCCCCTTGTCGCTGGAGGTATGTGAGGGGAGGCAGATGGGGTGCCCAGCAGGTGCTTTTGAGGTCCCTGATGACATGGAGTTTCTGCCGTCTGGCCTGATGCTACCTGGTTCTAGGGGCTCCATTTGCCTCCAGAGTTGGTGGGGCCTGGGGCTGCCCTCCCTGCTCAGGAAGCCCCCATCTGGGCCCAGGCTGGGATACAGCTGGGTCCACATGCTTCAAGCTCACCTCCCTCTCCAATCGCTCTAAGAAGCGGGGGTTCCTTGTCCCTATCTGGCCTCCTTTCCTCTTTCTGACAGGCCAGGGCAGACCCACTGAGCACCGCGTCCCTTTCGGGGTCCCCACAAAGCTGTGTGCATGTTTGCGTGGGTCTGCCTGCGAGTGTGCATGCGTCGGCACGTGTCTCTCTGTCCCTTCCCGCCTGGCCAGGCTCAGGCCACGAGCCCCCCTCCTGACCGTGCCTCCCCCTCAGGCCTTCCCCACTGCTGCTCCAGCCTGTTCCAGGCAGTGCGCCTGCCTCCAGAGGCCATCCCTTCCCTGCTGGGGCACAGGTACACACACTTCTCAGGTCACCGCCTCATGACACCATCGTCTTGGGGGCTTGCATGGAGGGCCATGGACAGAGAGAGGACATTTAAAAAAATAGAGAGAATTTAAGCTTCCCAAAAAAGAGATGGGGAGGAGGCGATGGAGGCCAAGGTGGGGCTGGGAGGCAGGTGGCCTTCCGAGAGCTCTGGGTCCCTGGGAATGACAAGGTCTCTGTGGGCAGGACACAGCCCCTGCCCAGGCTGTGCCCATCTACCGGTCTGGCTGTACCCCATGGGCACAGTGGCCAGGCCCGGCCGGCCGAGGGGAGGGCACCGTATGGCTGTCTGTAGTCTGTGCAGAGAGCAGGGCGGGATGGCCAGGCTGGCCGAGGAGGCTGGCGGTCCCCCCCAGGCCCCTGCCCAAGCGTCCGTGCGCCCGGCTGGCTCTCAGGAGGCGAAGTAGGAACTCTGCATGGAGTAGAGCCGGTCGATGGGGTTCCCCACACGGGCCTGCAGGGAGCCGACGTCTGAGGAGCCGAGGAAGCAGTCACTGAGGCTGGTTAAGGAGGTATCGCTGTCGATGTCGTGGAAGATGGAGTCATTCCCTGGGGGGGCAGAAGAGGTGTCAGGACCGGCGTGCAGGCTGGGACTCCTGGGGGCCCTGTTAGTCCTGTAGGCTGTGTGACTGGAGGCCAGGGAGTGGCGGGATGGCCTGCTGGCCAGTGCCACCCAAGAGGGCCGAGGCCCTTCCTGTCAGCAGGAGGCAGGAGGGCTGTGCTGGCCACGCTGCCTGAGCCCGGAGGTGGCAGGTGGCTGTCATGGCCCCAGGCCTGCCTGGCCTGGCAGGGGGCAGGGGTTGTGCTGGGGTGGGGGGCAGGGGTAGGGCGGCTTACCATAGGGGTTCATGTGGTCACCTGTCATTTGGGGCGGCGTAAGGCCCTGCTGGAAGGGGTCGCTGCTGCCGTAGGGGCTCTGCTCCATGGCCACGATCTGCTGCTGTGGCGGGGCCAGCGGCGTGTAGGAGGCCATCATGCCCTCCATGCGGCTGGACAGGACCTCTGGGGACACAGTGAGCCTTCACCCACTGGCCCGGCCCACGCCCTCCCGGCTGCACCCATGGCCCGGCTTCCCCAGCATCCTCCCTTTCTGGCCTCTCTGGGACTCCCAGGCACCCCTCTCTAGCTGAAGCTGCCCAGACACTGACTCCCCTACCCCTTCCCCAGGTGCACGCTCCAGCTCCTCCTGCAGAGTCCTCCCTCCCTGTCTTCTTTCCTCCCATTACTCCACCTACCCAGGGGATCCAGGGAGCAGGAGGAGGCACACCCCACACAGGCAATAGCAACTCTGCCCTGCATCTGGGAGTGCCAAGGTCCCAGACCCAGGCCAAAGAGGCCCCGGGAAGGCTTCCTGGAGCAAAGGGCCTCCATCCTGGTGTGACTTAAAGAACTAGCAGGGGTTCGACAGGCCGGGGCAGGGGAGGCAAGCCAGGCTGAGGGGCAGCAAAGGCCCAGAGGAGACAGACCGGCGGTGGGTAAGGGTGCAGCATGCGGGCTGAGAGCCAGGGAGAGAGGTCGGTGTTCGGGGAGACCAGCTGACAGGGACCACAGGTCACAGGGAGCCCTGGTGGGAGCCCCCGAGGCTGCTGGGAGCCACAGGAGGGTCTTGGCAGGTGAGGGCTAGAAAGGCTGGAGGGAGAGACCAGGGCCGGGGCCAGTCGGGGAGGAAGCCAGAGGAAGGGCGGGGTCTCTGTCAAGGTTGCTGTGGGAGAGAGCTCCTGGGAGGGTGGGAGAGACACAGACTTCGCTCCCCAACTTTGCACCTCAGTGGATCACAGCGTGGGACAAGAAGGGTCAGAGGTGACTCCTGGTTCCTGGCACAGACAGAGTGGACGGTGGTGGCATTTGCAGAGTCAGGGTGGGGAGGAGGAGGGCATGCCATGTGCGTGTGGGCAGGAGGGACGGTGTGGCACGGGCTGGGATGAGCGGGGGGACTGTGGGACCTTCTCGGAGAGGCTGTCTCCAGGAAGTAGCTTGGAACACAGGGGTGAGACACAGCCCAGGACCTGGCTGGGAGACCAGAGGCCGTGAGTACAGCTTTGGAAAGGGCAGAGGGGGAGCGAGGAAGAAGCGGGCTCTGAGGCTGTGTCCTTAGAAGCTGAGTCCAGCCTAGGATACTGGCATGGCCCCCGGTGCCCTGGCGCCTGGCCAGAAGCCTCCCTCTCACGGGGAGCAGGCAGCTCTGTCCCACTGCTTCTGCAGTCCCAGGGAGCTCCCTGCTCCTCCCTTCATGGCCCTGAAGGCTCAAAGTCTCATGGAGGCCAGTAACCAGCCTGGCTGGAGATTCTGATGCGGAAACAGCAGTTCTGGTGAAGCCCAGTGATGAGGGGCCCGACTCAGTCCCTGAAACCAGTCCCTCACGCCTCAGCAGGACCCTCGCGCCCGGACAAGCTTTGCCTGCAGAATTCCAGCAATGGGGTAGTGTCCTCCTGTTAAAGGCACAGGCTCGGAGCACCAGGCTTGGGGCCGAGGTCCAGCTTTGCACCTGACTGGCTGAGGGATCACAGGCAGTCCCTCGACTTCCTCATCTGTGAAATGGGACATGGCAATACCCTCCCTGGCAGTGATCTGTGATGACGGCGTAAGATGGCGCGTGCTGAAGGCTGAGCTCCGCGTCTAGCTGCCACTCTGTCTCTCCTCCCCGGGCCCCTTAGTTCCCAGGGCTTCTCTATTTCTCTATGTCTCCGTGGTTTTAAGACAGAAGCTCTCTGGGCTCCGATGGCCTTGGTGGAAGGCTTTTCGGAAGTTTTGTTAAAGGAAACATCCTGGATCCCTTGGTCCCTAGCCTGGGACAGGCGCAGCCCCAGCCCCAGCTCACCCTGGCCCAGCCGCTGCGAGTTCTGCTGCTCCTGCTGCTGCTGGTGCCGCCGAGCCAGCTTCTTCATCTGCAGGGAGAGCTGGTTCAGGCCAGTGCCGCCCCTCCCCCAGGCATGGCCAGCCCCACCCCCTCTGGACCCCTGTCTTCTGGCTGCCCCCTCTACTCCCACCCTACCTGGGGCCTGCAGGGATGGGGGTGGCCTCTTACCTTTGCTCTTTGGTTCTGAAACCAGACCTGGACCACACGCACACTGAGGCCCGTCTCAGCTGCCAGTGTCTCTCGGACCTGGCCCAGAGAGAGGGGGACAGGTCAGGCCCTCCAGGGGCAGCAGCCGGGAGACGGTGGGTTTAAGGGGAGGATGGGATGTCAGGGAGAGATGGAGGGATGTCCCTATCCCCAGCAGGAGCAGGGGCTGGTATCCAGACAGGCAGCCCTCAGCCCCGCCCCCCAGCCGCCCCTCACCTTTCGGCAGGGTTTGGATGAGACCTCGAAGGAGGCCTTGAAGGCTCTTCGCTGCTGCGTGGTGAGGATGGTCCGGGGTCGCTTGGGCCTCCTTGGGTCCTTCCCGTCATCCCCGCTGCCCTTGCTCTGGCTGCCCTGCCCCTTGGCCGGCTTCATGTCCCCATCTTCGTCCTCACTCTTCACTGTGGGGGACACAACCCGGCCTGTCAGGAGGGGCCAGGGACAGCCCAGGCCTCGGCCTTGTCCCCTTCGGCAACCTGCTGCCCGACAGGAGACTGTGGCATTCTGCTGACACCTGCCGTGGCTCCCTAGTTCCCGCAGGATAAGGCTACTTCGCTCCCTGGCCCTCAGGCCCTGCCTCACCTGGCCCCTCGTCTCCTGCCCGCTGTACCCTGCAAGTCCCTTCCCCGGCACATACTCCTCACTTCCTCATCCTGGGCCGCAGCCACACCTGCACAGGAACTCACACAGCTGCGCCTTGGACAAGCACAGCACAGGCGTGCACACACACTCAGGTAGCGAGGCCCACGCGGGGAACAGGAACACAGGCATACGCACATGGTCGTGCACATGGCTCTGTGTGTGGACATCCGCAGAAGTGTGCGAGCAAAGACACGCACCGCAGATATTCACGCGAGAGTGCTCGTGAGCGTTGCATACGCATACTCCTAAGACGCACACACTTGGTACAAGCGGCTCACAGGTGTATTCACACACACGGGCCCATGCTCACGGGCAGTAACGGACAGGCATGCATGCATGTGAACAGACATACAGCGTGTGCATTGACCCAGCACTACAGCCACACCCACCACACACACACAGAACTTCCACGCCCCAGGTTTGGGTCTCAGAAATGCCAGCCCCAGATGGATGGCCAAACCATCCACTGGGCCGTTTCTCCCCAGCCACCGCTGGGCCTCCTGCTGCCCCCTGGGCTGGTCCCCCTTCTTCCATCCTGTCCTCCTCGGAGTGTGGGGGGTGATCTCCTCCCACTGAGACCCGCGCTGCTGGGCCTGGCATGAGGGGATCACTGGCGCCTGGCCAGCCTCTGCTCTTCCTCAGGAGTCTGGACAACCATGGGGCTGGCTGCAGCGGTGCCCTGCCCAGGGAGGGGTAGGGACAGACGGTGGTGAGCTCGCTGCTGGCCATGGCAAGCCCTTCCCATACGGCCGATCCTGTTGCCGCAGGGCTGCAGGTTACCACCGGGCCTGGTGGACCGGGACACCTCTCCACTCCGCCTGCTCTAGTCCTTCCCCACTGTTCCCATGAACAAGGGCTGAAGCCACTTCCTGGGCTTTCCCTCCTTAAGGCTCATTCCTGGCTGGGCTTGCCCTGTCCACCAGGAGGGTTCCAAACTGGCCTCATCCTTTTGGGAGCTAGAGCAGGGTAGGCAAGGTCCTTCGCCCTGGGAAATGGGGTCTTTCCCTCAAGCACGAAGGGCCCAGCCTCTACCCCTCAGCTGGGAAACAGGATGGCTCAGGGCTGTTTGCTTCCCCGGATGAAGGTTTCAGGGGGCTGAGGAGCGGAGAGCACACCAGGTCCGTGCCTCTCAGGTGTCCCCAGCCTGTGGACTGGGTGCTGGTGAGCACCCCTGTGGAGCTGTGCTGTGTGTAGTGGGGCATCAAGGAAGAGAGCGCAAGGGGGACGGGCCAGAGAACAAGAGCTGTGTGTGTACACACATGCGCGATCCACAGTACATGTGAGCATGTGTACAAACGTGCACGTGCAGCCATGTGGAGTGGTGTTTAGTGCACACGTGTGCTGTGTTATGTGCATGTGTGTACGCTTAAGTGTGGTTTTTGCATTCCCAGGTATGTGAACATATACCTCCACATTTATGTACATGTATATCTCCTCAGGGTAGGGATACTCCTGTGTGCATTTTATGTGCTTGTATGTACATGTGATCACACACGTGTTTATACGTATGGATGGGTAGCTCTCAGGTAGTAAGCAGAGCGCATTTTGTGAGCCTGGGGAGACCCACGTTCGTGTCATGTGCATGCAGGTGGACACGTCAGTGTGTGTGTGCATCGGGATGTGAACGCGCCATCTGTGTTCAGCTCAGGTCCTGGAAGCAGGAGGTGGCTCCTCCAGCCAGGACTCCCCCCCAGGACACCGCAGCAAGCCCCATCCCTGAGGCCTGCCCCCAGCTCAGGCCAGGCCTCACCAGAGTCAGACTCGTCGGGGCTCACGGAGCTGAGCAGATCCTTCTCCTTCTCGTAGTCACCCTTGCACAGCAGCTGGCCCTCCTTGAGCACGAACTCGTCGCCCTTGCGTAGCTGCCGCTCACACACGCAGCAGCAGAAGCAGCCCAGGTGGTACACGCACTCCAGCGCCCGCATCACGAACTCGGTGGGGGCGATCTTCTCCATGCAGCCGCTGCACTTGGCCGCGAAGAGCCTGCAGATGCACAATGCGAGTGCGTGGGCTGCGCTCAGAAGTCCCTTCCAGAAGCCATTCCTGCCGAGGGCCTCTCCCTCTTGCCACCCTGACCCTCAGGCTCAGGTGGGAGGGAGAGGCCCCCCTTGGGCACTGGGCAAGACAGTAGGAGAGCCCTGCAGCCTTATTCTGCCTACAGGCCCCCAGTGGCCCTGGGATGGGTGCTGGCAAACTGCCTGGAGTCACCTGTCCCAGGTGAGGCAGCTCAGGGCCCTTCCAGCTGAGAGACACGGTGGCCACTAGAGGGCAGTGTGCAGGGTCCACCCAAACTTTCCCCCGGGGCCTGGTCAGCCCCCGTCTGGAGAGGTCTGCCTCTCCTCTGATTCTCCCAACACATCCAAGCAACTCCCAGCCCCGCCTAACCCACTGCCCAGCCTGGGCTCCTCCTCTCCTGCCCAAGCAGCTGTCTGGTCCCTCCCCTGGGCTCCCGGCCCCTTCAGTCCTTTAAACCCCAGCGCACACAGGAGCCATCATACACACAGGAGCCAGGGGGACCTTTCTAAAATACAAATCGGATCAAGCTGCCTCCCTGCTCCAGACTCTTCCATGGCTTCCGTGGGCCTTAGGAGAACATCTGAGCTCCTGAGGCTGGCGCTCAAGGCCCTTCATGATCCTGCCTCTCCCCTCTTTACCCTCTGCTTCCCCAGGCTACAGCCCCAAAGAACAGCCTGAAGTTTCCCCAAAGCACCTCCGTCCTTTGGCTTGGCTAACGTCTTCCTATCCCTCTGCCTCAGCTTACACATCTTCATCCTGAACAGATATTTACTGAGCACGTACAGAGTGCCAGCCCTGCTTTAAGCATCTTATGTGCAGAGATGCATTTAATCCTTGCAACAACCCTACAAGAAGAGAATGAACATTAACCCCATTTTAGAGATGAGGAAATTGAGGTGCTAAGAGGCAGAATCACTTGCTCTGGGTTGCATGGGTAGCAAATGCTGGAGCCAACTCCCAGGCTGAGCCTAATCCAGTTCCCGCGTGACAAAGTGGTTCCATCTCCCATCATCTCCGCAGACAAATGAGGGCGGGGGTCTCCGGGCCCTGGCCAGCACAAGCAGGAGGGGCTAGGCAGCACACCCTCCTCCGCCGTGTCTGCTGACCGCTCCTCCCGACACTCCTCCACCCTGTCACGTGTCCTGCTCTGTGGGAACTCAGCTCAACAACACTTTGATGGAAAAATTTATGAAGAATCAAATTATTGCTGCTGGGAGGGAATTAAAACCATTTTTCATTCCCGGCATCCCCGGGCCACGTCTGCGGGCGCCACCTTGGGAGTTGCTGTGCACATCCCATCCCTCTTTATGGCCCGCCATCACGGGCACAGATTACAGCTGCAATTCTCTACTAATCGGTTCTGGAACAGAAATGGCCATAAATGGGAGGCAACTGCCTGCCTCCCTTCTCGGGGCTGCCGTCAGAACCACCCATGGCGAGCTGGTGGGGTGAAGTGGGCAGGGCCGCTTTGAGCTCTGCCTGCTGCCCGAGCACTGGCCAGGGCACTCAGCTGAGGGCACACCCATCGACCCCTGCCACCTGCCTCTATTCTACCCAACAGGCTCCTACTCATCCTGCGATGCCCAACTCCAATGCCCCCTCCTCTGGGAAGCCTTCTCTGTTGCCCCAGTCTGGGGGAGGTGGCCTCCTCTATGCTCCCCTGAGCTTCCCCCAGCCTCAGTTTACTCCTGTAAAATGGAGATGTCAAGCCCTTCCTGAAGGCTGGTGTCAGGATTCAAGGATGCTGAGCATGTAACTCGGTGTGTGGGTATCACAGTGGAGTGACATGCATGTCGCTGTCGGTGCCCTACTCTGCCAACTCTGCCCAGGTTCCACGAGAGAGGACCTAGCCCCATTAGACCCTCAAGGGGGCCTCAGTAAATGTTCGCGGAGCAGATGACTAAAGGCCTGGGGTGAGCCTAGGCTGAGGCCAGGCTCTGCTGCGGACACGCTAGACCCCACCAGCCCGGGGGGCATGGCTCTGCAAGGGGAACGTGGGCTGGATTTTGGCTCTAATTTGGCCCTCTGGCTGAATCACCTTGTTCAGGGCACAATCTACCGAACTGTCAGTGACCGCTTTAGGCAGAGGCCCTGGGAATCTGGCTTTCTGTCCAGCTCTCCTGAGGGGCTGAGGAATGAGCCTGGGTTTGTAGAACCTATCGCTCTGACGTGGAGCACACTCCTCTCCCAACCTCCAGCGCCCCTCTGTCCCCTCCCCACGCTCTACCTCAGACTAGTGGCCCCACTAAGTCTGCAGCCTGACATCTGTGGCCTCCCAGTGGACAGACACTGGCCACGTCATTGCTAGCATGGCAGGGCCAGGGTCTCAGGGTCCCAGGTCAGGGTCGGCACACCTCGGGTGGCTCCCAGAGAGAAGCCCTTCTTAGGCCGGGGAGGGGGCAGCAGGGCGGGTGACCTGCATTTGCAGTCAAAGCCATGGTGCTGGCTGTGTGCAGAATAGCCGCGCTAATGCCTTGGCAGCAGGGGGTCGATTGCTACTTTCTCCAAACTCATCAACACAATCTATTATTAATACTTCTCCAAAGGCTCGGTGCCGCCATTATGGAGGCAGCGCCAGCCACTCAGGGCATCATCTGTTATCTAGATTGCAAAAACTCGGGAAATAAAACAAACTGCACGCACTTTATAAACAGAATGCGCCATCCGTTTGGTCTCCAAGCATCTCTCCACCCAATAAAACATCGGGGGGGATGCATGAAATACTCACTCCCAATTACCGGCTGCCTTTGTCTACTGTGCTGGGGTGAGAGCGACTAACGGCTTGTGTGGGAGGGGTTGGGGATACCAGCGGGCTCCCCCCTTCTCTGTGAGCCTCCATTCCCCCTCTCTTCGTGCCTCCTACCACGGAGGACTGGGGAGCCAGTCCCAAAAGCAGGCCCAGCCACAGACAGGTGGCACTGGAATCACATGGACTTGAGTGCCATGCCTTGTCCCACCAATTGCTAGCTGGTAACTGGGAAAGTAATTTTGTCTTCCTGAGCCTAAGCTCATGTATCTGTACAACGGGCTGAACGACACTGCCTGCATCTCAGCATGAAGATGTAGTGAGCTGTCAGTGTAAAGCAACGGGTGTGGCAGGCACAACCTCCATAACTTCCTTGCTGTGTGGCTTTAGGCAAGGCATTTGACCTCTCTGAGCCTCAAATTCTTCATCTATAAAATGGGAATGATCAGGCCAGGTGCGGTGGCTTATGTCTGTAATCCCAGCACTTTGGGAGGCCGAGGCAGGCAGATCACTTGAGGTCAGGAGTTCAAGATCAGCCCAACCAATATGGTGAAACCCTGTCTCTACTAAAAATCCAAAAAATTAGCCGGGTGTGGTGGCACACACCTGTAGTCCTAGTTACTCGGGAGGCTGAGGCAAGAGAATCTCTTGAACCTGGGAGGCGGAGGTTGTGGTAAGCCGAGACTTTGTCACTGCACTCCAGCCTGGGTGACAGAGTGAGACTCCATCTCAAAAAAATAAAAAATAAAAAGAATGGGAATGATCATCCCCGACCACAGGGTGGTTGGCAGGGGCTGGATTCCTTTAAAGCCCTTGGCACCACGCTGGCATGATGGATGTCCACCACAGAAGTCTGCCCTTCTCTGCCTTTCTTTGGTTCAGTGTGTACTCACCCTTGCTAGGGTCTCCACGATTCCTGGGGGCAGCCTGCAGCCTCCCACCCTAACATTGACTGGGGTTACAGGGCCCGCTGTGCCTCCTTCTCACCACCCCCCTGGGCTCTGGCCAGCCCTTCCAGCTTGTCTGGTCTCATCTGGACAGAGCACTCCTGGCTCCATTATCAGTCTCAGAACATTACTGAGCATTAATAATGCTCAGTTATCAGCTACCTTCGTCACCTCATTCAATCCTCATAAAATCCTGAAAGGAAGACGCTGTTTCCATTATTCCCATTTTACAGATGAGCACAGTAAGGCGCACAGGCCAGGTCACTCTTTCAAGGTCGCACTGCAGCATCACCAGATCCTCCCTGCTCTGTACATCTCAGCATGCCTTTGCCCATAAGCCACCCTTGCCCTGGGCCCCGGGTACCATGCCCGTGTCTGTCTGTTCCTAAGACTTGGGGGCTGATTCACCCCAAGTTCTTATTACTCAGCGTAAGCCCGGCCCCCAGAAGGTGGGGCTGGATATTTGCATCTCCCCCGCCGGCAAACACTTCCCTTCCACTGTGGGATCATCTGAGATTATGGAGTAAGAAATTCCATTTTTAGGGATGTCCTTCCTATGAAGAGTCCCAGGGTGTGAGAAGATATCTCCATATCCTCTGAGTTTTTATGGGTTTATTTGTTTAACGCTCAATTTATTAAACTCATAAGGCTAATAAACAAAACTCCTGAAAACCAATTTTTTCAGGAGCATTTGAACATGGATTACAACTCTGATTAATTTCTTAAGAGACACACAGAGTATGGCTGATTCACTGACAACTGCAGAGACACACAGAGTATGGCTGATTCTTTTACCTCCAATAACACTGGCTTCCTAACGTCCTGGGAGCACTCCAGCTTCTCCAAGCCGGTCTTCGTGCACAGGTCTTAGGGTTCAGACAGCAGACGCCAGGCTTGGAATCCCAGCTCTATCACTTCCTAGCCCTGGAATCTTGCACAAGTCCCTTCTCTTGAGCCTGTGTGCCCATCTGTCCAATGGGGATGATGACAGAGACTGCCTTACAGGGCTGGGCCCATGAGGTGGACTCCATAAACAGCGATTGTGATCACTGTTACCCACTCTCCAGGACTTCCCGACTTCCGCTTTCCATCCCTGCTGAGTCAAGATCTCCTACCCTCCTCTCCTCAGTGCCATTTCCGCACCCACCCCGTTACTGCCCTTTACAGTTGATGTGGCTCTTCCTTGGGTTCTTGGAACAATTCACACTCCACAGTCCATGAGTGTCTCCCTACTCTCAGTGGGCCTCTTCCACCCGTCAACGCATCCCTATCCA